CCCTCTGGCCTGTTGGAAGGGGGAAGGCGGTCAAGCGCAAAAAGCGATGTCAGAAAGGGGCCGTTTTTAACGATCAGGCGAGCTATCTCGCGGGGTAAAGCGGCCGTTTCTTGAAGTATCGTCAAAGCCGGCTTGAAATGTTCCGTCAAAGCTTCCTTTGAACTTTCGGGAAGGAAGGGTAGTCTATTACCAATGAAGATGGAAGCTGGATCAGTGGCTACAAAGCTGGCCCTATTCGATCTCTACAGCTACAGCTAGAGCAGCTTTGGAAGAAGCACTAGGGAGGCGCAGGCAGCTGCCAGGCGGCTCAATGTACTGTTTTACAAGCTGCAATTCTGGTTTCAAAGCCCTTAGGTAGCACCAAGGAGACAGCATTTACAAATCTTGTTGGGGTTTAAGCAAACATCCTGCAGTAAATCTAGAGATAGCAAGCTGCAGAAACAATGCTCGAGGAACGAGTGGCAGACTGATTGTTACAACCTGTCTTTCAATGCAAGTAAGGGAATAGGAAGCATGGTAGGAGTGGAATCAACTACCTAGGGCAGACTCACTGACAAGTTGGTACAGTTGGTGCAGCTCAATAAGGGTTTTCCAAATGAGGCTCCAGCACCAAGAGAACTCCTCCTTGTCCTGCTAACATAAACAGCAACTGGTGCACATCTAGGAGAATGGCTGCTGATAAGACGTGCCGGCGCAAAGGCTGCCGATATGAGGTGCTCCAGGTGTAGTGCAAATGGGATTGACGTGTGGTACTGCACAAGAGAGTGCCAGGCTGCAGACTACAAGGCTCACAAGCAGGTTTGTCACCGCTAACAATATTGCAATTTATGTGGAGAAACATCCCTCTTCACTTCTGATCTTCCTGCTTGCTCGGTTCAGCACGTACCTCAGTCCCAGCTTCTGACTGCCTCACTGCATTTCTGCATGGTTCGCAAGCTGTATTGCTGAGGGTCTGAATGCTGCAAGATTATGTTCTGGCTCAAATTGAACACGATCAGCCTACTATCAAGGATTTGATTGTTTTGAATCAAATGCTGTTGCATAATTCTCTCGTTTTGCTGTGTTTGTTTGCACCTAAATCCTGTGAGCTTGCAAGTGTTATGACTATTAGGGTCTGGATGAGAGATGAGGGGCTTGCCCAGACTGGGGTGTGTCAGGATCAGCCTTGTCATCGCTCTGCCAGATTCAAGCCAAGTCAATGTCTCAAGTTCAAGGGGCACACATTTTGCATTCCGCTCTATGTGCTCCTTATGGTATGCCTTACACAAGGTTCAACTACGAGGCAGTTCTTGCCCGCACGCCGTCTGACTGAGTTCCTAACATAGTTTTGGAATGCTTGAACCTCATCTGAGCATGTCCCAGGGACTCACAGGATCCTTCTCATGATCGTGCAAAGGCCAAGCCCCTAGTCTCCATTTGTAATGTCCAAGAAATTCTGCTCACTCTTACGTGCTTTTCTTTCTTAGCGCAGGCCTGCAAAGCTGGGGTAGCAAGCTTCGACTCCACCCATCCAGAAACCACTTCCTATGGAAACCGCATGTTCACGTCGCAAGGCCTTCCAAAGGGCCTCCAAACAGTTGCCGCTTCCAAAGACAATCCCCGGCAATGGTGCGAAGGTCCGAGCGAAAAGCGGACATACATACGGTTTGTAGACTCATTCCGACTTCGAACAGAGGACGAGTATTCGTTCAATGGGGACGTGTCAGGACTGTATGCGCAAGAAGACCCGATGCCGTGCTTCAAGCGGTACTTGAAGAAGGCCAAGGCAAAAGGGCTGATGCCAGGTGAGGAGCAAGATTCATCGACGATTTTCAATACAAGAAATTCAAAAAGCCCACTCGAGCTGACAATCACACCCTTATTATGGCTTAAGACTTGAGCGAAGGAACTGATGAAGATGAGGAGATACTGTCCAGATGCTTGGAGGCCGGTCTTTGACCTTCAACCGTAGGAACGTTGATTAGATTGCCTCTGACGATTTAAGATAGCGGGGAGAAACTTGACTTGACAATCAGCGTGGCAACTTTTGACTAAAAGAGATATACCAAAAGAAGCAGCCGCTCGTTGCAACACTGTTTAAGGGTTGGTCTCTGTACCCTTTAATCACGGTATTGCCCTTCGACCTGCCTCGTAAAACACACCCCTCTCGCAAGTGCAATCCCGATTCTCAGTGCTGCTCTCCTTTGGCCAGACTGGTGGAACGCTGAAAAAGAGGCCGAGCTTCTGGACGTGGCGCGCTCCGACAAGTGGGCGGCGATCCACTTAGCGGTCGAAAAGAGTGACATCACTGAGCATTACGGGTATGCTTCGATGGAGCATATGGTCCTCCGCGGTTTGGCCGAGCAGGTTACGGGAAGTAGTGTTATGTCGATGTTCTAAGCAAGCCAATGCCATCCGGTTATGAAAGGAAACCTCAGTTTGAGAATTGATTGGGCCTGGGTGCGTCGACAACACTGTCATGCAAATACTCTGATCCTGATTGCAAAAAAGTGCTACAAGGTCGGAGTGCGTCAAAGGCAAGGAAGATGTTGGGAAACTATTGTCGCTCTACATGCAAAGGCGGCTGATTTGAGCAGTTTGCAAACCAGAAGTTCAAATAGTACTGCAACTAAAGAATCATGAGCTACCGCCCGAACCCATGCCGATTTGCAATTGAACAGGAGCCAGACAATCATTGGTTCATGTTCCTTACCTAGTTGCTTGGGCAAACACATGGCCTACTAGCTAGAAGCGCTGGTACGGGCTGCGCCACCGCCCAGCGACTAGGCTGGGCGGTCATTCGAGTCGAACCTAACGTATCCGATCTGGACAATGGTCGGTCTGATCGAGTCAAGGGCTGCGCGCTTCCGTCGGAAGTTCCACGAACACTTATATCGAGGTTCTAACTTTTGAGCACACAGGGCGCGCGCGGCGGCACGGCATGCCATGCAAGCTATAGTATCAAAGTTTTGGCCATATCCTTGGAGCCGCGCGGGGCGCGGGTCCAGCTGCTTTAATTTACATGTTTCCATATCGGACTCAGGCACGCACTCCCAAGTTATAATAGTGACGTACAAATCAGGCTAACTGCGACCATGATCCGATCGTGGTCATATGCTACGCAGACATATCCAATCATATCGATCAACGTCTACCTGCGCAGGCTAATGGCCAGCATGTGGGCCACGCGCGGCAGGAGTGTTTCTGATCGCTTCAATTGTACGAGCTGCGGGTTAGTACCTGCCCGTAGCACAGTTGAATACATGCATGCAGTGCACTTATGCTGCATCGGCCTGTAAGGGTTCAGATTGCCTCCAGCATTCCGTACTCGAGTATGTTGAGAAGCCGAGCTCGGTCAAAGACGGTACCTATTGCATGCTCGGCCGATTAGCACTCCCGGGCGGAAGAAGCAGCAGCATGGTGGCACGTTGGTAACCTTCAAGAGGGAGGCTCTGGTAGGCTCAACTACATAATTGAACGAAGCCTCAGTGCTGAAGTTTCTGTGTGGCAAAGAAACGTTTGGGCAAGGCTTTACCTTTTCGAAAGGCTTTAAAGGACGTATGATTTCCAGGAGCGCTATGAGATCTTGAGTGTCAACCTTTTCCATTTCAAGCAGGCCCCAGGACTCTGACTTTGCTGGCTTCTTATCTCATTTCGAAACTTCCCTTAGTTGCTTTACATAACGTACGTATATACTTCGTGGATAGAGTCTACTGTACAGTCACAAACAAAGAACACTGGTGAATGCACTGCCGGCTCAGCCAACGTCGGGATGTTGATCGAGTGTCGTCCCGATGTCCATCGCGCTCCCCGGTCGTACAAGTAGGTCACCCCAGCTTTGGTCAAGTGCTGTCACCGACTGTCAAGGAAACATGCCTTGCGAACCCTTCAGTCGATCGAAGATTACCGCAATATCTTGAGCAACGAGCCACTCTCAAGGCGAAACCTGCCGCGCTACTGTAAAGTTGAGACCCCTTCGGCATTTGTCGAGACCAAAAACCTGACAACAATCAAGCAGGAAAAGCAAGACGGCATGTAACCGAAACCCATGGATGCATATTCTGGCATCCCCTTGGTGCAATTAGATACCCATTCTCCAACGTCATCACGAAAACAGACAGAACAGACACATAGCGCCAGCGAAAGGATACGTTCTTCCTCAAAGAGCTCGTCGATCCCCGGGCCAACACCGCCGTCGTCCAGACTGCCCAGCCAGTAGTCGTCCTCCCCCTGCAAAAAGGTGGTGTCTCGGTCACTTCGGCAGCAGCAGAAAACGAACATTGACAGAAGCGTCGAGACTCGAGTCATCTCTCGAATATGTTTGTGCAGGTACTTACGGAACCGCGGCTGATTGCCTGAAGGGCAAGATTTGCATGAGAATCTAGCTCTTCCAAAACCGTTCACCATTCATGAGACATTTAAATGTCTGCGCAACGTGCACGGATATCAAAAGAATAAGCAAGTTCCCCTCGCCCACTAGTCGACCACCACTTCTCAGTTGATACTTCGTCTCCTCTTCATGGATAACAAGCAGAAAGACAGTTCCTCCGCGAACACGTTCAGGAAAGGCTGACGTAAGCAAGGCTGACCTCAGCAGCCGTCAGCGATCGAATCCGCGACGGGCTGGTGGGCATTTGCGCCGCCTCCGCCATTCCCGCCTCGTCCCGCAAGAGCGCCCCTTCTCGCAGAATCGCCCCCTCTTCCGGCCTTACTGGCCGGGGCTGGGCCGGCTCTGCAACCGCCCCGTGGGCGTCATCCGTTTGCATCTCCTCCAAGTCGGGTTCGTGACGGCTGCAGAAAGTGGGTTAAGTTTGAATAGCTAATAGCAGCCTGCCTCACCAGTGGGTTACGGGATTGTTGAGAGACCATTGTTTTGCATCGTTCAAGTTGGGTTCGTGACGGCTGCCAAAAGTGGGTTGAAAAGCATGATCTGGGAGAAAAGCAGCCTACCTCACCGGTGGCATACGGGATTTGTGTTCTTTGAAGAAGGAATCATTGTTTGTAATTCCTCAAATCAAGTTTGTGACGGCTGCAAAAAACGGGTTGTCTTTAAACTGAGGGGAAGCAGCCTGCCCAACAGTGGATTACGGGGATTGTGTGAAGAAGCAGATCATGGGTTTGCAAGTCCTCTAAAGTCAAGGTCGTGACGGCTTCCGAACATGGAATTTTGCAAATCCAGGGGAAAGCAACCGGGGGTCCTAAGAGACTAGTTGGTCACGGGGTCTGTGTTGTGGCGAAGAAGCAAATCGAAGTCTGCGCTTACATGAAGTCGGCTTCGTGACGGCTGCGGACAAGTGATGAAAGGGAGCGGGGCAAACAACGGGGGGGCTGTGCGGTTTGGTACTCATGAATTTTTTGCTCCATCATCAGATATTTGGGTATCCAACAAAGACACTCACCAGAGGTAGTTGGTGAATCTTCAGCTTCGTCCCATTCAGACGGCTCCGGAAAAAGGGATGCTGGAATTTGTCACTGCAGTGTCACCTTTCCTTCAAGAACGCTGAGCACGACCAGAGTGATCGACCGAAGAACTAAAGAGAAAGGGTGGCCGCATGTCTTCGTCACAAGTGCTCACCTCACAAGGTAGACGTCAATCGGCCCGGCAGTGCTCCGCAAAATGATTTGATAGTTACCCTGCAGGAAATGACAGACTTTCACTTCGTATAGAAACAGAGAACGCCTTCATCTGCAATTCCCTTAGACAGCTTCGAAAATTGCTGTCCGCTGTCCTTATGCGTTCTCTGATGGCTGCTTACATCAGTTGAGTGACGAAACCATGGGTCTTTAGGTTCCTCTCGTTCCTGAATGTCTCCCGCACATCTACAGCAGAAGTCATGTTTCACTTCATTTATCATTGTCCGCAATGAGCTTCAACAGTACCCTTCCAGGTATTTTCTCTCGTCTCTTGAAGATAAACATGCCCTTAATCCTGGGGACATGTCATTCTGAGCCACTTTCCTGTTTCAGCATCCCAAAATGGCTCTATGAGCCACAAACCCGAAGTTATGAAGGAAAGTTTGAAATTGTTAAGAGGAAGGAGAGTCACGAGCTGCGCATTTCTTACTGTATCCTCCACATTCGGCGCTTCGACTTCGGTCCCCGGCGGCGCCTTGATCGCGATCAAGGTTTCCCTCTGTGCACAGAAGACGCTAGATGAGCCGCCGAGACTCAACTTCGTGCAAAGAGGTGGCGAGTATGTTACTTCGGACCCATTTCAATATCTAGAGGCGGCAGCCAAACATGAAAGCGATCTGCGCGGACTTGGCTAATGGCCCCAGTAAAAGCAGGCAGCAGAGGGTTGCGCAACCTAGTACCGTCTTCAAGGGCACAACGCGGTTTCGATACCAACACTGAACAATCTGAGGACTCGGCGTCAGACCACACCACGGGAATCGAGCAGATGCTTACATTGGACAACTATCCGCGGAAACATAAAAGTGCTGGCATTTTTCATAAATTCTGCCTCCTAATCTCAAAAGCGCTGCGCTAAAACCCCTAAAACCCCAAAAGCTCGAAGCCTGGCGAGCTTACCTCGAAGCCTGGCAAGCTTTTGATGTCCTGCTCCGTCACGTAGAGCCATCTGAGAAACGTCCGTCAAGGAAGCGACAAACGCAAGAAACCCGTTCAGGGAAATTCGATGGAAAGCAAAGTTGTGAAACGTTGCAAGCTTTGAATGCTCGAAAAGGTTGTAGGCAAACCGTTTCTCGAAAGAACTCAAGAAGTCTGATCCGACGTATCGCACAAATAGGTAGTGTGTGGTGGATACTGTTTACTGTGCTCATCCTCCTGAAACGCTGCCACCCTTTCTCGCATCATCCTGCAAAGGGATCCAGCGAAGTATATAACATATTCGACACGCTTATGGATGATTGCAGCAGCAAGGCTGATGGGATAAGGATCGTCTTGTGAAGTATGCTCTGACGATTATCGTTTCCGTCCACGTACACGAAAGATCTGGGCTTGGATGCTCTGCACGTCAACGAAGTCATCTCACCCTTAAACCATCGACGGACGAACGGACGTTAGAAAGAAGCGGAAGCGGAATCTAAGGTCTAAATTCTACCCTTGTCACCTTCCTTTGATGAATCGTCGACTCGAGCTAGGAAAGAATGACAGCACCGTCGAGTCGCACTAAGGTTCGACAGAAAAGCCGGTCAGTTGCGCTTAGGTAACGATTACACTTTGACCCGAGCTCTAAGCCAGACTCTAAGCAAGTTTAAGCTTGGAGTTGACGCTCACTGTATCTGTTCGTCGAGCGCCATCTCCTGTTGCTGCAAGTGATCCAGCTCCGCTTGCAGCTGGGCCGTCTCGTCCAGCGACTCGACCGTCGTCGTTCCCGCAGCACCCCTGCAACCGCGGAGCGATGGGTTAGCTTAACGATGCGGGTTAGGGTTTGACCGATTGGAAGTCGCTTCATTTACCAGATGCAGTTTTGAGTCTCGATCAGCGACTCGACCGCTGTTGTGCCCGCAGCGCCCCTGCAACGGGTTAGGCTTAACGAATCAGGTTGAGGTCTGAGCAAACGGGACGCAGCTGCATGTACCAGATTGCTGTTTGGAGTGTCCTTCAGCAACTCGACCGTTGTTGTGCCCGCAGCGCCCCTGCAATTGCGGCTTTATGGGTTAGCCTTAATGTCTCAGGTTAAAATTTGAGCCGATTGGAGTTGCTGCAGTCACCAGATATGGTTTCGAGTCCCGTCTAGCAACTCTACCGTCGTCGTGCCCGCAGCGCCCCTGCGATTTGCGTAATTTTGGGTTAGGCTTAACGATTCGGGTTAAGGTTTTAGCATCCGGGAGTCGCTGCATTTACGAGATGCTGTTTGAGGAGGGGCGTTCAGCGACTCGACCGTTGTCCTGCCCGCAGCGCCCCTGCAACCGCGGATTCATAGGTTTGGCGTAACGACTCGACTTAAGGGCGAGCAAACGGGAGACGCTGCATGTACCAGATTGCTGTTAAAGTCGCGTTCAGTGACCCAACCGTCGTTGTAGCCCCAGCGCCCTGCAATTGCCACTCATGGGTTAGGCTTAACGTCTCAGGGTAAAGGTTTGAGCATTTGGGAGTTACCGCATGTACGAGATGCTGTTTGTGGAACGTTCAGCGACTGAACCGTGGTCGTGCCTGCAGCGCCCCTGCAATCGTGGATTCCTAGGGTAGGCTTAACGAGTCGGGTTAAGGTTTGAGCGGTAGGGAGTCGCTGCATTTACCAGATGCTGTTTCGAGTCTCGTCCAGCAACTCGACCGTCGTTGTGCCTGCAGCACCCCTGCAACGGACTTTATGGATTAGGCTTGACGACTCGGATTAAGGTCGGGAGTGGCTGCATTTACCAGATGCTGTTTCGAGTGACGTTCAGCGAAGCGCCCGTCGTTGTGCCCGCAGAACCGCAACTGCGGATGATGTGTCAGTTTTAAGGTTTACTCTCAGGTCCGAGCAACTCTTGTCTGACCAGAAATAGCGGGTCGTAATGCTGTCGTCCGCAAATGCGACTATCGGTGCCCGGAGCACCCCTGCAACCGCCAATCTGGGTGGGCTTTACGGTTTGAGGTTTTAGTATGAGCAGCTCTTGTCTGACCAGGACGATGTCGTAAGACTTTCGGTTAGCGACTTGACGGCCGCCGGGCCCAAAGCGCCTCTGCAATCGCGGGGGAATTATTTTTGCTTAACGGTTCACGTTCAGGTCCAACCATGTGAAGTTGACTCTGCCTGGGCCAACAAAGAAAGGCCTTAATTTACTCTCCCCTATTCATCTCCCCGTGCATGAAAGAAACTTTCCGAAGCAAGATGATGAATACGGACCCTATGAAAAACGGCGTCTTCAACTGAAATCAAGAGCGTTACGTGCGAGTTGAGTCATCTGGACGTCTGCTAGGCACCTCGTCGTCGAACGGATACACGGCCGCAACAAGAAGCGGTCAAAACTTTCTGACTTCTGCTTTCCGAACCTCTTGCCACGTCCTCACACGCTACTTGTGTTCACGTCACAAATACAGGTCTGGTAATGTTGCTATGGCGACCAGAATATAGCTTAGGGGAAGGTTCCCGAACATAAGCGTGTAGAGCGTGAAATGGACTTACTTCCACAGAATGTTGTTCTTCGACTTCTTCTCGATCAACCCGATCCCCTCCAGCACGTTCGTGATGTCGTATATTCGTCGCTTTTGTACCTGGAAGCGGGACAAGAGGTTGGTCGCTTGCAGCGACATTTCGGTTCTAGTGTTCCAATGGATCTTGACGTCTCTTAATCTAGTACGCAAACTTCAGCAGGAACGCGACATGGAGCGAAGCGGACCTAGTGACCAGTGAAAAGACCCCTGCATGTCACTACCGTCTAGGTTCTTCAAAAAGCATGCAGACTAAAAGATCATGCAGCTTTATTAGTCTGTCTCTTCATGCAATGCTCGTGCCTTCATCCCAACGGGGATTAGACCAGCGACTCGTGACTGTCCTGTACCGGTGGTAAGAACTGCCTGCTATACTTACCTGCAGCGTTTCAGCAGCTTTATTTAGGTCAACGACACCGTCAACCGCCTGCTTTATAAGGTCGATGAAGCGCTTCGTAAGCAACCCTGCAAAGATCGCAGGAGGAGGATTGGAAGGATGACGGGGAACGGTGGCAAGTGGCGCTAACATCAGGAGTGCGATTGTTTCAAGGGAACTCTGAATTGGCCGATTCCTGTCTTCGGCGCAAGAACAAAGTTTACGAAGTTGCAGACACGGATAGCTCCCACTACATACAATCAGCGACCATGTCATAAAAAACCCTAGGTGCTGACGCCCAAAACTGGAAGCCAAACTACAAAGGCTTGGCAAGTCGTCTTTGTCCACCTGGTGGATTCCGCCGGATATATCGGGAAGTAGGTCGCACTCACCAAGAGACTGGTCGTATCTGCTGCAAGAGCTGCCGGGAGTTTGCTGTGACGCACTCGGAGGTGACCCTGCAGAAAAAGAAAGAACCTTTGTGAGCTTTAGCTGGAAAGGTAGCAAACAGGGAAGAAGACACGAAAGCCTGATGCATTATCGGGTCAGGGCAACAAAAGATTAATGAAACAAACTGCCTGAATAAAGGGAAAATGACGAATGCTTTCCAGATGTCTAGGTGCAGAATGAAGGACAAAGTGGCTTTCATCACGCGCTCCAGCAAATATTTCTAAGTCGATCCAACTCTTATCTAGTGCGGCACAAGTCGACTGCTGACAGAGATTGTTCCGGACAAACGGTTTTGGATGTCAAGCTGTGTGTGTGAATCAGAAAGGCGGCAGCTTTAGGCACACCAGGTATCCAGCAATCAGAAGAATGCTGCTGAAACGGATTGTAGGAAGGGTGACAGATCCGTTTTGCAAATCTCGACCAGATTGCATAGACAGTGTAACAGAAGTCCCATTTGTTGATCGAGTCCATCAATGCGGCCAAGCGCACACCGGATGTATTGCAGTTCGTAGTCTGCAAGAGCAGCAAAGCCCCAACTGGAGGACACAGAGACATCGAAAGCCTCACCAAACGACATCTGTTCTGCCGGAGTCACAGGCCCTGTACTGAGCCGGCGAGCGGCACTCCCCCTCTGGTTTCCCCTTCCCCCACCCCGCTGCTGAGGCGCCTGCTGCAGGGGGGTGACTGCCATATTGTAGTCGATGCCATTGGCACCCCCCCACTGATCCCTTAGCCCCTGGTCCGCCCCCTCTGACTTCACAGCCATGCGTTTCGCCTGGAGAAAGTTTTGAAAGTTACATGAGTAATCGCCAGTGGGACACGAAGCCTCTGCTTGAGCCAGGTGAGTAATGAAAATTACAACAGCCACTGGCTGTCAAATTCTAGTAAGCGAAACAACAATGCGTTCGCACCGTAATAGGAATCTCAGTTCTTTGTCTGATAAGTGCTCATGACTGTCACTGACTTTGACAGAAAGCAGCGCGAATTCCAAATCTCATGAAAATGGCAAGCTATCCGCATAAGCTTTGAGAGCAGGCATATGCAGTGTTCTACATAAACATCGTGTCTTTCCAGAGCCTAAGATGGAACTTATCAGAACCCATCTGTCCTGGCAGATTTGATAAAAAAAATATACAAGCAAGGAACAACTAAGCAATGTCCAGTATGTGCTTACCCCTGGATGACTTGTTGCCGGCGGGGACTGCATCATGTTATCCTGGCACATACCAACGAAAACATCTTTTCAAGCAGTTGTCAATCATGTCAAGATCAATATCCTTCATCTGGTGCAACTATGAACTCAAGTCAACGACAAGCAACTCAGTAGACAGAGGGGAGGAGAATCAAGCACAAGGAAAAGACATGAGAGTAAGCTGGAGCAGTCAAAGAGCGAGATTAAGAATCAAGGTTAAGAGTATGTCCAACAGAAGGCCTTTCTTTGCAGCATATGATGAAAAGCAATTGTTCCACTCTCTGATACAAGCATGTGCACCAGTTCAGAACTTGCTGGAGCAGAAGTAAAACGCCATGCATTGAAATTCACAGGAGGATATCCCTTGTTCTGTGCAATGTGAGATAAAATTATTACATGAAAAGCAACTTCTGACGCGCATATCAATCCTTGACAAGATTGCACTTTGCATGAGTCCATGCATTTTTCTGAAATCAAAGGGTAACTGAAGTAGGCGGTGGAATTTTGTGCAACCACTACACTTCCAGTGTTTTAGTGTTTCCAGAACAGAATGCGAGAAAAGAAAGTTTCTACAACCTGCTGATGTGACCAACATCATCAAGATCTCAGGTTATCGATAAACCTTGGCCTAATCTTTTACATCCCATAAATCCCACAAGGAGAGAGCCGGGGTCGAGGAACCTGCCACTGCTCCTTCTAGCTCCTTCTAGATCTATCCACGTAATATGATGAGGACTGCGCTTTATGCATTGGATTGCACAAGCCCTTGCACCCTGGCCAGGCAAGGCAATTCTCCAAAGCAGAAACCTCATGCATTTAAGAAAAACGTGTGTTTTTCATTCAGTTTCACCAAGAGTTTCCGTCTGAACATCGGACTCAAGGAGAATACCCGGCAGATAGCAAATGCAGAACCCGCAACCAATATGTGCTCGAATCTGCTCGTTGCAAGCTCACCGGAAAACGGGCATACAGTACCTCCTGCGGATGCCCCTGCGGCTGAAAGCCCGGCCCTTGGCCCCCTTCCTGAAACTGATGGTACTCCTCGGGCGCAGCGAACGCAGGCCGATTGTGATCGAATGTCATCTGCTGAAATTGGGGTTGTGCTGCCATTTGCCTGGGCTGTGCTAGGCCCCCTATTTGCGTTTGGACTGGGCCTGCGCTCTTTGATTGAGTTGCCATGGCTCAAATGAGCGATAAAACTGCACTCTTGCACGACAAGCTTGTAGGCAAGGTTGTTTTGAACCAAAAATCCGTCTACTTACTCATGCAGGCTGCTGAAAAGGTGACTGTGGCATGCATTCTAGAAGCTCTGGTTGTGCAACAGCTACAATCAGGTGATCCTTCGTGAGGTTAGGGATAAGCCATCTCGACGATTAAATGGGCGAGCGGAGGAGATTGGAATGCTGCAGACCTCACAAACCGAGAAGAGTTTTCATACTCTGAGGAAAAGAAAGAAGAGAGCCCCTCTAGCAAGCCTATGGCCAGGACAGGAGCCTGTCAGAGGAGGTAACGGTCTCGTTAAGAATGCAAGTACCCGCTCTTTCACTTAAAGCACCTCTTGCCGATATCCTTGAACGGAGAAGACGCCTGGCAACTGTCCGGGAAACGAGCCGTGCAGCTGCTCTTCAGCAGGATCTTCAACCTCCTGAACCTCCTCCCCCCAAGAAGCCATGCAAGTGCTGCGTTTTGCTGAGTGGGGAGTCCAGTTCAGCTGATCAGCCAAAATTCAGCACTTTCTTCAAATGTGGCTTTTAGAAGCAGCCCCTTGCATCCTCTAACTACACCGCCTAACCCACGTTTATGACGTTAATTTGCGCGCCTTCAGAGCAATGAAGGTGGAAGTATGGCAATCAACCGCCTGCAGAACCCTAGGTCACGTTTCGGGTCACGAAATGGTCAAACC